AAAAAAAAAAAAAAAAATTGGTATACTTTGGGAATTCAGTGGCACAAGGTATACTGACATTAACTTGAGGACATACACAGTTAAAAAAAAGGAAATAAAAAGGAAAACTTTTTCTCCTATTTTGAACACTGCATTACATAATTGTATCTGCCCAAACAGACCATTTACAACTAATTAGGCCAGTAAACTACTAACATCCATAAAAAGATAGATTTCTTACTAAAATGTAAGAATTTAAAAGTGGTATCTAAACAAAAGACAAAAACAAACTGGAATGAAAGCCTAGATATCACATCTAAAATTGGGGTTTTTTTGTTTGGACCCTTCGTACTCTTCTCTCCCTCTAACGTATCCTGCTGGAATTCCAGGCCCCGTTCCTCTAGGACCCTGGCCACCCACAGTCCCCGCACCTCCCTGCCCAAAGCGCTCAGTACGCAGGTCGCTTCCCATCATGGAACCACTCACGGTTGCTGGTGGAACTCCAGGACTAGCTTCATAACCTGTGCCACCACCACCACCTAGAGGTGGAAATTTCTGGGCTCCTGAACCATACGGATCTCCCAAGTTCATTGCTCCTCTGCCACCAATTCTCATGTCTCTTTCTCTTGGATCCCTGTAGCCCATTTGGCTGTAACTTTCCTCTCTTTGGTGTCTCATTTGTTCTTCCATCTCATGTTGGCAAATCATCATCTTTTCCTCTCTTCTATATTGTTCCTCCTCTTGCCTCAATTGCATTTCTTTATGTTTGTGCGTTTCTTGATTGTGAAGTTCTTCCATATGTCTTAATTCTTCCTGATGTCTCATCAAATCTTGGTGCAAAAGATTTGCCTGATGCTCATGATAGGCATCTTCCATTTCACTTTCCAATTTGTCTTTTGCATCCTTCATGTTTTTTTCAACTTGTTCCCTTTGTTGTTTCTCCATTTCATCCAAGGATTTCCACCGCTGAGAATATTCATACCCAAATGTACCACGCTGAGCAAAAACGAGGTGGTGTTTCCCTCTCCTTTTGGTACACTGGATTTTTCTGGGCAAGTTTTTTCAGGAAGACCATCCTCCTCATCCACTTGTTCAAGTGGTTCCACAATGACTGGCCGAGGTGGTGGTGTCAGTAGGAAAATATCTTCACTGCATCTTTCGAATGCTTTTCTTGCTTCTGGTTTAGAAGCAAATTCAACAATGCCTTTCCCTGTAGATCTTTCATGATCGTCCACTATTACCACGGCCCTTTCAGTAGGACCAGACTGGCTAAAGGCTTCTTCCAACAGTTCATTGGAAACATAAGGTGAAAGATTATGAACAGACAGGGCAGCAGCATGTGTAGCAAAACAAACTTGAAGCTGTTTACCCCTCATGGGTGTGTTGTCAAGTTCAGCTTTGGCATTTTCAGCCAAGGCTCTAAATTCAAGCTTAATAAATCCAAATCCTTTGTCTTTATCGATAGAAACCTCTCCTGGCTCTCCATTATTTAGCAAACAGTCTTTTGAATTCATCCTCTATGATATCAGCAGGCAGATTCCCAACAAGCAACTGGCAACGCTTGAGTGTTTTTCTCTCCCCACCTCAACAGAGACAAGTTGGCTTTAAGCCCCTCTGAATCGGAGATCTTCTCGCTGCCAGGCGGGGCTCCCTGGTGGTGCTGCTGGTGGTAGGGTTGGTGGTGCTGGCGGCCCCCTCGGGGCTCCCCACCGCCTTGGTGCGGTGGCTTGGGGTGGCTGCCAACAGGCTTTGGCCCTCCGGGCATCTTGCCGCCTTCAGAGCCGCCAGGGCCTGGACCCTGCTTCGCCCTGGCCCGGCCCAGGGCCACCCAACGGGGGGAGGAGGTGAGCCGCCAGTCTGGGGGGGAGTGGTCGGGACCTCGCTGGCGCTGGCGGGCATCAGTGTAGGCAGTGGTGCCCCAGGTGGGGCCAAGGTGACTGCTGGAGGTGGGGTTCGGAGTAGGGCCCGAGTCTGGAGGTGCCTTGGAGGTCTGTGGAGTAGTGCAGCTGGGGCTGGGCCAGCAGCAGGTGCACAGCCCACCCCGGGAAGATTACATTTTTAATAATACTGTATTTTGTGATTTTATTATCAGTTTTTAGATAAAAAAGTTTAAATTTTGACATGTCTTCCTAAATTAAGTCAAAAGTAGATTATGGAGGCCTGAGTGGAATAACTAAAAAATGGACTGTAGTGATAACAAAAATAGTATAGTGGTAATGATAATGGTGATAATGGTGAGGGTGCTGCTGATTCTGTAATAGTATAGTACCTGATGTTTATTTTTGCTTAACTATGTGTCAGATACTTTACTAAGTTCTTTGCGCATGTTACTCCATTTAACTTTCAGCATTTCTGAGATAGGCCAGTTTTCATTAGTTTTCTTCCACATTGATTTTTAAATATTCTTTCTGTGTTAAGGAAAATAATCCTTTAATATATGTGTTTAAAATGGGTTTTTTTCCCCCAAATGACTGTTTATATTTTGTCATTAAATTTGTGGCAAAGTGTCAACATTCTTTAGTAAAATGCAACCTGTATTACTGGATTTGAAATGCAGCCTATATCATTATACTAAATCCTCACATCTCTTCAGGTGTATATTTTGATTCTCTTCTGTTTCATGAACCCATTTGTGTAATTTTGTGCCACTGCCAAACTTTTACTCTTTATAGCCATGTAATGTTTTAATATTTGGTAAGCTTTGTTGTCCCTACTTTTCCTCTTTTTCATAATTTTCCTGGCTCCTCCAGTATGTTTTTTCATGTAAAATTTATAATCAGCTTGTATTGGTTCCCAAAAATATCCTCTTGGTATTTTGGGGGGGAATAGTATTGAATTTATACATTAATCTTGGAAGAATTGGTAACTTGACAATATTAAGTCTTCTATCCAAGGACAGGGTACATTTTTTGTTTTATTTAGATGCCTTTTCATGTCTTTCAGCAATATTTTCAGATTTTCTTCCTGTAGATCTTTTACTGTTACATTTATTCTGGGTACTTATTGTTTAGCTATTTTTATGAATATTCTGTATTTTGTTTAGCTTATTGTATAAGGGAAAGTATTGATTTTGATATATTTACCTTATACTCTGCTAACTTGATTTTTATTTCTAGTCATCAGATGACTCTCATGTTCTAGGAATATGTAAATTAAGATTTTATCCTTTCTAATTTTATCTATTTTTATTTTTTTCATATATTAGTATTGACAGAACAGTGTTAAGTGTTGGTGCTGATAGTGATCATTCTGTTTCTTCTTGGTTTGAGGTTACTATTTGTTATATTAAGGTAGTAAGTAGCTAGCTGTGTTGTCCTATGTGTCTTTCTGGGTAGTCATTTATTTTTCTTTAATTTGTGATAAATTTGATTAATAAATTTGTTAATATTGAACTATTCCTGCCTTCTGGTATGAGTGTTACTTAAATCATGATTTCTTTTTGTTGTGTTTCATTCTGTTTGGTAGTATTTCATTTGGAATTTTACCACCAGTGCTTATAAATAAGATTACTCGACAATTTAGTATATTATTTTTTTTCAGATTTTGAAATAATTGGTATGCTCTATTTTTAAAAAATGTATGTGAAACTTGGATTAGACAAATTATATTAGTGCAGATTACTAGGGTAATATTTTTCAAATTTCTATGACCCAGAGTGAGAAATGGGCTTTATGACATGATCTGTGAATGTGTGGGTGTGGGTGTGTGTATATAAATTAACAAACATTTTATAGTAGCAGTAGTCCTAGTTTGTATAATGTAATAATTTCTATTCCCTTTTTACTTTTAAAAAATGTTCACGGCTGGGGATTTTTTAGCTCAGTGGTGCTGCTGCCTGCCTCATAAGCACAAGGTCCGGAGTTCGATTCCCTGTACCAAAAAATGTTCACATGGGAAAGGGAACAAGCAAGGAGGGGGAGGGAAGGAAGGGAAAGGGAAAAAGAAGAGAATAGAAAGAAAAAATGGAAACAAGGCTTTTGTAAATTGGAGAAGAAGGACAAGGGGCATGGGGAAAAAAAGAATCAAGATATATCATGTACATGTACAGATTCCCTATGATGGATGTGATCATTATATACCAATAAAGTTAATTAAAAAATATATTGTAGCACACTAAAAGATCATAAACTGTAGCTTGAAAATAATTGACTTAAAATAGTATACGAAGTGATTCATTAATTGTTGATATAAAGGTGCTTCGTGAAATGATGATTGTGAAAAGTTTGTAAATTGTGTGGTACTAGTCAAATGTAAATCATTTACAGAGCTTATTATTAAACCTCGCATATAATAAGTATGTAAATATTGACTGATTTCTAATACCAGTAGATCTGAAATTTGTTCTTTACAATTATTCCTTCAATTTGTTTAGCAGATTTCCTTTTCATGTTGAACATATTTTATAAATAAAATATATAAAATAAAATATAATATAATATATAAAATAAAATATGTATCCTGGACCCTCCCAAAATATGAAACAGCACTGTGTGAGACAGCCTTGATTGCTATATTATCAGGGATATAATTATGCTAATAAATTCTGTATCTTTCCATTTGTTTCAGTTTTACTTACTGATTTTCCTTTCCAGGGATGTCTGAATCTGAACAGGCTCTTAAGGGTACTTCTCAAATTAAGTTACTCTCATCTGAAGATATAGAAGGAATGCGACTTGTATGTAGGGTAAGAGTTATTTTTTTTTTTGTGGGTATGGCATATTTAAGCAGTACTTAACACAGTAAGTCAATGATTTGATGATCTGTAAATGTATCCAATATTACATTGTAAGACTAGCCATACTTTTCATTAAACTATTATTAATATATAATTTAGTGGAGCAGTTTTTTACTTAAATAGCCCATTTGGAAATTAGTGAATTAATCAATATTTGGTTGCCAGTTTGTTTCTTTTACCTTTTGCTACAGAACCAGATTTTTATGATATTTTGTCATTTTTATTTTCACAAGTATAATAACATAGGACAAAGGTTAAGGCTCATACAAGGTTCAACCAAAGGTCTTACTGCAAAATACCTATGAAGTATGGTAGCAGTAATTGATATTAATTATGTGAAATTACATTTTTTTAAGGAAAAATAAATGATACATTGATAGTATTCATTTAGATGTGATCCTTAAGGTTTTTATGCAGTACTTTAAAAGTAACTTGATGCTAATTTTTTTGATAAATCTGCAGAACTTTATTATTCCTTTCATTTATTTGCTATGATTCTTTGAGAAAATTCATTTATCTTTTATTTCCCTTTACTCTTCTCTATTATAGAAATGTGAGAAGACTCCGCCTTTATCAGTTGATTATTGCCTAAAATTAATGTACATTTTCACAGAGAAATCAGTTAAACTTAGTAAATAAACTTTAACCCACTTTTTATGTAAATTTATTAACATTTTATATAATAATGTAGAAAGGAAAGTTCATGTTACCAGCTTTCCACAAAATCTAAGATGACACAAAGGGTACACATTCCTGTGTTAGTTTTTTTTTTCTTTTCACATGTGCTGTGTTCTTCTTTTACAGCTTGCTAGAGAAGTTCTGGATATTGCTGCTGGGATGGTTAAACCAGGTGTAACTACTGAAGAAATAGATCATGCTGTACACTTAGTACGGACTTTACTATTTCACTTTGGAAAAACTTTCACATTATTACATGTTTTTAAGTTCTGAATGTCTGCATAATATGGTTAAGCTAATTTGACTTATTTAAAATATAGGAAGCATTCAGCAGAAGTTATTCTCATCTTTAAGTACAGACAGCATTCTGGATTGTGAACATTCATGAGTCACCCAACCATGGATTGAAAGTATTTGGGGGAAAAAATTACACTTGCACTGAACATCTATAATTCTCTTTTCATTCCCTAAACAGTATAGAATAATAACTCTTTACATAGCATTTACATTGTATTAGTATTATAAGTAATGTAGAGATGATTTAAAGTATCTAGGTAGATGTGTATAGCTTATGCAAACACTATACTCTTTATGTAAGGGTCTGGAGCATCTACAGGTATTGATATTCAAGGGTAGTCCTGGAACTAATCCCCTGCACATACTGAGGAACCACTGTGTCTGAAGCTAAGCTCTGAGGTGAGCTTATGTTTTCATTCTTTATGGAGCTGAGGACTGATACCAGGGCCTTCTCACTGAGCTATATCCCCAGCCTGGTTTTTGATTTTTTTTTTTTTGAGACAGGGTCTCACTAAGTGCCCCAGGCTGGGCTTGTACTTGTACTTGCAGTCCTTCTGCCTCAGCTTCCCAGAGTGCTAGGATTACAGAAATATCTTATTTTTGAAATGGCAGCATTTCAGTTGAACTCTTATAAGACGACTAATTTCATCAGTGCTTTAAAAACATTGTGCTACTACAGACACTTAAGTATTCTGAAACAGAGTATGATATCTGAAGCTAGATTAATAGAAATCCATGTTTCTTTTATATCCACAAAGCTATAATCATACATATTTATAGTAAATATAATATCTATTTTTTTTTAAAAAGTTACCTATCAGAAAAAGATCTTAAGACTTTAGGAGATGAGTGTTCACATTACATAACTAGGTTGTTCAGTAGGTAATTATAACATGGAAAACAGATTAAACCTGTTCTGGTAGACAAATACGAATTATAGTAAATTTACAGTAAATATTTTAAAGATGTTATTTGTGTGGCAAGGATGAAACTGATATTCTTGCAAGGTAATGGTATTATAACTGGGGAGAGATATAATATGTCTGAGAGAATGTGACAGTATGTCAAACTATAAAAATGCTTTAAGTTTTTCAATTCAGAACTTTTAAATGTTGATTTTGTGGTATTGTTACATGATACCCCAGGGTGTCCAGTGTGCAGTAAGCAGTTTGAGAGCTTTCTCTGACCAGGTGCTCTCTAACGTGTATCTTTCATATGAATTCATTTAATCACCCCAACAATCTCTTGAGTTGAGTGCTAGTATCATACTCATTTAAAGATAAGGAAACTGAGGAGGAAAGATACCAATTAAATTGTCCAAGGTTATGCATCTTGAAAAAGTGCTGGAATTGGCATTTTACAGTCAAGACACTTTGATTCTGTGTGCTCTAAATTGCTATTTATACTACTCTAAAAAGTATGAGTATATTTATAAACAAGGGAAAAGCTACAGGAATGTAGTTATTGGTTGTAAGTTTTTTGTAATTGATAAAACTTCAGATTAATTTAGATTTCCAGTAATAGTGGAATTGCTATTATGATGTAGTCCACAAATGATATTTTGTGCAACAATTAGAAACCTGAAGATTGTGTGATAGTATGGAAACAGATTGTATTCTGTGATTTACCAACTGTATAAAACATCCAAGTAAAATAAGTCTTGTTATACAAGCCAGAATGTTTTCTAAAAGTATTTTTGTTGTTCCACTGAATATAGTGCTTAAAATATCTCAGAGAGTTCTTTACCATTTATTAATTATACTAGTATTCCTTTTTTGGTCATAGAGATAGAGGCTTATTTTTATATAAGAAATTATAATTATATCAAAAGTGCCTTTTAGCTAGGCATGGTGGTGGTGTACGCCTTTAATTTCAGCCCTCTTGGGAGCCTGAGGGAGGAGGATGGCAGGTTCAGGACCAACTGGGGCAATTTAGTAACTTAGATCTTGACTCAAAATAAAAAGCAGAGAGTGAGGATTTAGCTTAGTGGCACTGCAAGTGCAAGGT